AATCATATCCAGTGGCTCCCCTGTATCATGCAAGCTCATTTTCTCTCATTTTGCTTTACTTTTTTATTGTTTGGAAAAGGAAGCATTCTGGTTTAAATTGCTTCCTGAGATGATGGCTATTCCAAAGCTCTGTGCTTGCACTTCAGGATGTGAACTGTGTGAATATCTTCCTCTTTGGAGTTTGGAGGCAGGCATCTCCATCCAACCCAGCTCCTAATCTTTCTTGGCCAGTGGAGTAAAATAAGAAATAAATTAGTATTCTGACCAATTAGTTCATTGGCAACCTATATTTTCTTATGACCTTGGTTTGAGTATTTAGAGGTGTATGTTTGTGAGTGTTAATTAAATAGTTTCATTTACTTGTGTTTTTATATCTAAAAGAAAGCCCCAATTTGCTCATTTCCTTCTGCAGGACAAATAGCAACTCTGTGTATATATGATTTAAGTAGAAGGGTTTAAAATACAGATGTACCCATTTGTGTGTACTTAGTCTTTGATGGTGGACTAATTAGTTTGGGAAGCATTTACTATCTGTTAGATAGCTGTAGATCTTGGTGTTTCTTGAACATAGGCACACAAGGGCCTGCCTTATACCAAGTCAGACCCTTGGGCCACCTAGCTTTGAATGATTTGGATGGGACATTGCCAGCATACCTGGAGATATGCAGAGATTAAGTTTCCTCCCTGACTCCATAGTCTATTGTATCATTCACAGACAATCCTGCTACTGTCTAGGTATGCCACAACCTGTCCATCTTGTGCCACTTGTGGCATCTGTGGGACAACAGTGGCCGTCCACCAGCTCTACCATTTTATGTGTCCATCTCAGCTCTGGTCTGTCCTCTGTATAGGTATGTGTGGCTATAGGAAGTCATGTATTCGGGTATAGTTTCTCCATAGCACATCTTATTTATTTATTCAGTATATAACCCACCCTTTTTCCTTTCAAGGAACTCAAGGCAGCTTGCATAATACATCAGTGATACAGCACATCTGTATGGTTTCTGGAACCCATTTGTTTCAAGAAATGAAGTTGCTCTCCCTGCCCCTCCAGAACTTTAGTTTCCTTTTAATGGAAGCTGTTTCATAGGATCATATGGATCTAGTATATATGTCATAGCCTTAAAATTGCAGTGGAAAATAAATACTAGCTAAAAGCCAAATCGGCTCTATACTAAACTCAGAACTGAGCCTAGGTTTCTCTAGCAGGGCATTCTATTTTAGACAAGCAGGTAATTGGTCTCCCAACAGAACAGTGCTAGTGTGTATGCCAAGACGGATAGGGTAATGTCTGACTTCTGTGTTTCAGACTAGACATAACTGTACTAGATCTCTCTTTAATCATTTTTACCAGTTATAAACGGATGGGACATTTCGTGGTGCCAAATATTTTTTTTTAATGGCTGCTAAATGAAGTTTTGGAACAAAATACAAAATCCTTGTTTATGGAAAAGCAGTTTGCTCTGCTTGTGTGTGTTTTTAACTTGGTACCTCAGGCCTTACTCCTGTTTGCTTTTGAATGTACGGAACCCCTATCACAAGATAAGTTTACTGGTCCATGTTATATGGTTTTCTTTTTCATGCAAGATCTAAGGTTTATGTTTATGACAACTGGAGAGAGCCATGAGAAACTGCAGACATTTGAATAGGATGATCTTGTGCTAAAAAGGCCAGGAACATTGGCTCAGCTACAAAGAAGCAAGCCTTCAATAAAAGGAGTGAACTTGCAGGACATACAGTCTGTCCCTTGTTGTGATCATGCCCATTTTGGTTTGCAATACAGGAAGGGAGATTTGGGGCAGTAGCTTGGAACTCCAGGGTTCTGCAAAAGATCACTGGGGATTCTGAGATGAGACTATCTATAAAATAAGTACTGTGTTTTCACATTCATGTGTTTTGTGTGCTTATAATATAAATCTAATATATAAATCTAACATATACTATAATCAATTATATAATATATGCGCTAATATCAACACACATGAGTTACTTGATCATTTCAGTAATCTTGATGGCATACTAATACTTGAATGGTCAAATTAATCGGAACCAAATGTGTTGACACTGAAACAAACACTGCATTTTAGTCTTTTTCATCTTGTCTGTGTGTGACAACTTGTGGGCAGAGCCATTGGAGGCAGGCATGAATGGGGGAATAGCATTTAGCAGTTGATTGAACTGTCACAGATCTTTGTGGTGGTCATAGAAATGGTCTCATTTTAATTGAAGATGAAATCTGCGTGTGTTTATCTAAAATTTGGCCCAGAATTAAGTATTAGGGCAGCAAAAAGCAAGCACAGGTTTCACTTGATTGATTGAATGATTTATATCCTGCCTTTTTCCTACAAAGGGCTCAAGACAACTTACATCTTTCTCCTCCTCCATCTTATCCCCACAACAACCAACCTGTGAGGTAGGTTGGGCTGAGAGTCTGTGACTGGCCCAAAGTCACCCAGTTGGCTCCATGGCTGAGCGGGGACTAGAACCCAGATCGTCTGAGTCCCAGTCCCATGCTCTTAACCACTACTCCACACTGGCTTTCCACATTTAATTTAATTAAGTACATTTAATTCTTTATTCTAGTTTCAAAAATAACACAGTCTTAACCAATGTTTTGGTTATATTGCTTTGATTTATCTTTTGGTTTTCAGTAACCATGCTATTCAACAGTGTCAATGAATTTTCATGTTATAAATTGCACTAATTAAGGTCAGTTTACAACCTTCATTTATATTAAATCCAGGACCTACCTTTACGCATTTATTCAGTGATTTCTTGAGGCATGAACATTATTTCAAGTGTTTCTCCTAGAATAAAAGGTTGGGAGAAGCCATTCTAGACAGAGTGCTCCTAGTCCTCCCAATAGAAAAATTCTGGTCTGGTTCACAGAATCACAGCAGGGGATATAAGCCATTATGGCCTTGTTGAGCATGCAGGGTAATTAACATAATTACCCTTGCCAGAAAAACTTGCAAGGCTGTGGTTTATTTCTTTATTATATCTATATCCTGCCTTTTTTTTCCATCCAAGGAACTCAAGACAACTTGCATAATTCTCCTCCTCCGGTCAGTCTTATCCTGGCAACAAGAGCCCTGTGTGGTAGGTTGGGCTGAGAGGCTGACTGGCCCAAAGTCACCCAGGGCTGAGTGGGGACTAGAACCCAGATCGCCTGAGTCTCATTTCCATGCTCTTAATCACTGGCTCTTAGGTTCTGGATGGCTTGTTGTGGCTGGTCTCTTACTTAATAGTACTAGTGCTTTGTTAGGGATGGGTGCTGTATAATTCTTTTATTTGTTTTAAATGTGTTTTTAATACATTTTATGCTATATTTTAAGATTTTACTTTTGATATATATTTTACTGTTGGCTGTTTTGTGTACCTTTTTGGCAGAAAGGTAGGAAACAGACTGAGAGGAGGAAGGCAGTTTCACACATCTTACATATGCAGTACTTTGCTACTTAAATCTTAGGTGCATCAACATTTAAAGAGCTGTGTCTACCACCATCACTTCTAGTTTTGTGTTGTGAGAGTACTGATGGATGTGTTTGGCAGAGTCATCCTCAGTGATGTTGGTAAATGGTTTTTTCTGCTTGGTCCTGATGAGTCCTTGTCTGTGGTATTGGGTCTTGTGCATTGAAGGAAGAGATGGGGCATGGAATCGGGAAACAGTGATTGTAGGATGGTGATAAAAATTGAAATAGAGCAATGACACAAGGATTGGGGCATGCTCAGACCTGAAGAGGGGGGAGAGAAGTTTTTAAAAGTTGACTTAATACTTAACTTCAATCTTCCTTCCTGTATATTATGGAAAGCCTTTCTGACTATGAAATTACACGTGGGAGCATGTTCCCAAGGTTGGTTTTAAAGATGGGAGGGTTTAAACTGGAAAATACCTTCTAGATAGGAGTAAGGTATTACTAATCCAACTTAAGTGTGGCAGGACCAACCAAGATCATAGGCTGCAAACTTTACCCTAGTGAGCCATTAAAAACAACAACACGGTTTTGACCCTTTCTGATGTAAAGTCATGGAGACAAAATAAAGATAATGACACCCAAGCTCTCATCCTAGATTGAGGTACATGGGAAGCTGCTTCATACTGAGTGAGGCTATTAGTTTATCTAGCTAAGTAGTGATGACATTGAGTGCCAATGACTCTCCAGGACTTCAGGCTGAAGTTTTCCCAGCCCCATGTGGAGATGTCAGGGATTGAAGCTTGGATGTTCTGCAGGCAAAGCAGGTTCAAAGCAGCCAATACAAAGTTCAGATAGGCCCAAAGTTCTACACCTTTCTGCCCAAAGTTTTCTGCGTGCGATGCTGAGGCAGTGGCCTTGTGGATTGCATTGTTGGCAAGCAGGGCTCCTTATCTTTGAGGAGGGGAGATAAGGCAAGCTGAAGTTCCTATCCATGTAGGATTTTCAGATGTACAGGAAGGCAGGGCTGCTGCGTCTTTGGTAACTGTTCAGCCGGAGGGAATTGGGATATGTACAGCTTCTCATGCAGCGATAAGGAGAGCTCATGAGTTCAAGAGCCCTCGCCTCCCTTGCATATGGTGATGGTTTGTGCAAAGACATTTCAGGTAGCAGATGTATGGCATGAACACATGTCTCACAAATAAACCTTGTGTCCAATTACTCCTTTTGCTTTTGATGCCAGAGAGCAGGACACAATCCTTTCACCCAGATGAAGCTCGCAAGTTGTGGAAGTCTTGCTGCTTCCTCTCACCATTAAAATAAAAACTGAAACAGACAGAAACAGACTAGGGCGACACAACTCTGCAAGCCAGAGGTATTCTGGGAAGGAAGAAGACTTACCTTGGCAAATGTTCATACCTCTCTCTCTTTTTTAAACCTCAATATTCTACACTTCCAGCATGCCTGACAAGTTTCACCTTCGTGGAAATAAAGTCCAACTGACAGGACTTTAAGAGGGAGGGGGAAAAGGTTTTAAAGGGAATCAGGGGGAGCACGACAAGAAAAGTGACCCTGTTATTTCTTCAGTAGAAGACACCATCAAAGTCAAACCTCCCAATTCCCCGCGTGCGGAGTGGGTGCTGCAGCCTAGACCTACACCGCCCAAAGGGAGAGACCCGAACGCTTGGAACCGGCTCAAGGACCAGTCTTTTGGTAGGAAAAAAACATTTTGCACGGATGACCAGTCACGTTCAGCAGAGCGGAATGACTGCCCCATTGTGTTCTCCTTCTGTCTCTCATCTCTTTCTCTCACTTCCACAGAAGATTATCCATAAGCCTGACATTCTGAATATAATCCTGACACTGTATATGTTCCTTATTTGTGTGGGAGGGATTACAGTTGTGGGGTTGGGTTATTGTTGACTTTGACAAATGCCACTTATTGATAAATAAGCAGAGGAAGGGTTTGATGCTCAAACATCAGCTTTGGGGTTTCTTCTCCTGATGGTCTATTCAGTTGCCTAGCATAAGATGCTTCCATCTTTCCTTTTTTTAAATTTGTGAGCTCCTTTATTTTAGGGGTTACCCCCCACAGAGATCTTGGAGTTAACTTCTCTGAAGTTTTGGGATTAAAAAAAAAAAAAAAAAGGATCTGAATTAGGATGGGGGATGAATTGAATTGCAAAATCTGCCCAGCAGGTGTAACTTCTAGATAAACAGCTTGCATCTGGTTTCAGTATCTTGTAATGAGGATAGTTTAATTACAATGAGTGTGCCTTAAACCTATGAACCAGCACTGTTCTTGGAGATGAAGTTACAGTGACAGGTCTTGGAGACACTTTTATTTTTTTTTTTTTTTGAGAGAGAGAGAGAGGAAAAAAAAGCCCCCTTCTCTGGATGCAAGATGCCTCTGTGTGAGAGCTTTATTAATCCAAGATGCCTACTGCTTCCTTGCTTTCTCACTTTGCTGTTGCCAAAAGCTGGTGGTGTTGGAGCGCAGTGGCTGAGCTTTTGAAAAGGCTGTGTCTGGGTTTATTTAGTTTCTAAATGGGAGAGTTGTTCTGAGTCCTAGAGCTTTTTCAGCTTTTCTCTCCACTCGGGATGGCACAGCAGAAGAGTTAGCAGGGCCAACATTTGCTACATTTCCAGCATGTTTTGTTTTATTTTTTTAAATGGCATTTCTTTAACGGAAAATTGTATGGAATTGTTTTGGCTTCAAGCATGTTGGTGACTGTTCTTTTCAAAATAAATCATTCTTCTAGTTTCATTTATGCGTTTATCTGATTTTGGTTGTAGTTTTCCTCTAGCATGTTAAGTTATCCTCTATATGCACAATATCAAGCAGTCTCTCAGCTTGCATCCAAATGTGTTGTTTTTCTAATTTTGTGTAATCTACAAGAGCCTGCTTTGGTGTTCATACTGTGATGAGGAATTGAATCCCCCCCAGTGATTAAAAATGTTCCACTCAAACTCGTACCTTACTTCAGAACACTTCATAATGCTTTGTTACTTAAGTAACAAGAGGTCCTGTTGGCTTCAGTTTAATTTGACTGCTAGAGAGAATTCACACATTGCTGCCAGTGTGACCGAGGCTGCTGAGGCAGAGCTGTTAATGGGATTGTGTAGCCCCACAACTCAGTTTCCTTCTGATCTCAACTGTAGCTGCTAATTCTCTGCCTTTATAGGGCTTTGGTGTAATTCTCCATGATGTGCCATGGAACCAAGAGCAGGTTTTCATCTGGCTTTGAAAGGCATAGAGGTGCTGTCATGAGCAATTTCAAGAACAGCTGAGATAGTTTTGTGGCTATATAGCCTACATGGGCTCTTGTGCCTGGTGTCAGACACATGCACCTTACTCATAAACTTCAGGGCTCAGAGGCACTCTTACTTATGTATTCAATGAGGCCTGACCCCTCTATAAACTAGGGAAATATGTCCCAATTACCAAGGGAGGCAAGGATGGGGCAGCTGAAACTTCTTGGAGCCAGAGTAGAGTGGAGCAAGAACAGGCCTGTAGGACAGTGGGCGGAGCAAAGGGAGCGGAAATGGAATGTTTAATCAGCACCATACAAACTAGAAACCTGAGCTGTTTGTTTGGTAATTAGTTTGTTAGACTTTATTTTCTGCCAAATTGGCCCCAGGGTCCTCTAGACAGATTACAATCAGTTAAAACATCTTCTAAGGATAACGATACATATTTGGGTGCGTGTTGCATGTAACCTTGCTGTATGTGCATGTGTGTAGCCCCAGTTATTCCTGGACTAAAGCCACCTCCTTTGGAAGAACCATCTCAACTGGTTTGTTACTGGTCAGGCATACCAGGCAAACTCACTGCCTTACACATTTGGGTAACACTGGCGGACTAGAATACTGGCAAATTAGTTTTGATCTTTTATGGTCCAGTGATCACATGTGACTAGTAACTATTGAGTTTGGATGTGGGAGACTTGTGGCCAGCTCTAGCTTTCCTGTGCAAGCTCCTGTTTCTCTTGGCTTTAGTTACCAATCTGTTGGAGAGAAATAACAATGACTTGCAGTATGTCTAAGGAGAGATGAGGCCAGGAAGAAGTGTGTGTATTGGAAAGCAGTTCAGTTTTGCAGCAGCGTATATGCTATAGTTGGGATATCTACTACTTTATATTACCTGCTTGTGTTCATGTGAGGAGGAAAATAATTCTGTGTGTGAGAATAGAAATTTGGGTTGAGAGTGTTCTTTGGAAGTCAAAGCAAATACTAAGAGTGAAAATGAGTATTTCCACCCTCCCTTAAGAAGCAAATATAAGTTTGTGCATGTGTATGTGTTTGTTTGCTCCTTGCTTTCTCCCAAAGTATCAGGTACAAAGAGTTCCTATATCTCTTAGCCTTTTAGAACTGGGTGTCCTTGCTTCAAATCAGAGCACAGCCTGCTGCATTTGATACAAACTAGGAACTGCAGCCTCCCTTAGCTCTGGCTTTGGATGAAGTGCTTAGACCAAGTGACAATTGGAGCAGGTGGCATGCAAGCAGGTATCTAGCTAGCATTGCTGTGGGTGGATTTAGCATCTTCATAGTGAGTTGCTTTGTGAAACCAAACCTCCATTTGAAAGTGTACATTATAATCCGGCTCAGTAAGTTTAAGGCCTAAGTGAAAGAGAAAAACCCATAACTAATCAAGTTCTGCTCTGTTGTTTTGCATTTTGCAGTCCCATCACTCTGTTCTTCCTTTGCCGGAGTGGATCTAGATGAAGGGACCCACTTCATTTTATTAGGCAGATTGTATAGCTGATGGGACAAGATCAGGGTCTGATGCAGCAACAAACTCTGGCATTGTGTGGCTGTCCTGGGGACACATACTTTCTCCTTCCTCTCTATTGCAAGATTTTGCCATTTGGGTGGCAGCCTTGGCTTTTATACACTGTTGGTCTGTTTTCTGAGCTTTCTTGGCTCCCTGGTCTTACATCGTGCACCAGCTCTTGCATCTGCAATGTCTAACTGCTTCAGCTGCTGCATAAGAATGACCCTGTCACTGGCAGCTCCTGAATAAAGGAAGATTGAGCAGGAAGACGTTCCAAGGGCTGAAAGGGCTGTGGCGTACAACTTAAAATGTGGGGAGCCATGAAATAGGATCTATGGTGTTCTTAGAGCTCTCAAATTGAGTTTTCTCTGTTTTAAAAGTTGTAGACGTTCAAACATAGTGGTTAGATTTATAGTTAGACCAGGAGGTATACTGAACAAATATCGCTGTTGGGACACAACAGTAAAGTAACGCTGTTGTGCTAGGTCCCTTTATTCAAGACTTAACCCTGTGTAGGCCAGCTTCCCAGGCCAGTGATGCCTCTAGCTCCCTCAACCAGTTTTATGCTTGCTTTGGTAGGATTTATTATAATTGTCTTAAATGTTTGTATTGCAGCAGTGCTGAAAGACCTTGGCCGGTATGTGTAGAGAGTCATACAAACATCTTATAAACTACAACCTCATTTCAAGAGGCGTAATAACTTTTGCAGAAGATTACTGGCGTTATGTGGTGAAGGAGGCAATTGCTTCTCTGGTTCTCCTTCCTCCCCCTTGAGAGTAGAGCAAAGAGAGAGATGCAGATTGGAATATGGATCCTTCTGTACATCTCATAACGTCATTTAATTTCATGCTTACAGTTATCTTTTTGGCTCCCTTGGTTGCTTCATAGATGGTTGGCCAGCAGCCAGGCAGTTACATTCTGGGCTTATATAACTAATCTCACGCAACCTAATCTCACTGGCATTTTTCTTTCTCTTTCTTTGGTTGTATATATTTGCTTCAGAAGGACTACATCAGATATACTATGAGGCTGCCTGATGCAGAGAATAATGGTTACAACTTGTGGTACAAGTATTGCTAGCTAGCTGTAATAAGCAAGACTGGTTGTGTGCAGACTTCCTTGTAGGAATAATTAACCTCAGGGAGCCATGCCTAAGGAAGACTCCTTAGTTCCCTTCTTTGGAGCAAACTGGATTTTTAAAATAAAATCAGGTGTCAGGAGAGCAATAAGGAGCAAAGTCAGGTTATCATGATAATACTTACAGACTTTTAACAAGGCTTAAACTGCACAACTTTTGGCCCTCCAGATGTTTGTCCTACAGCTCCTATCATTCTACACCATTCGCTTATACTAGCTAGGGCTGATGCAAATTGTAGCTTAAATATCTGGAGGACTACAGAGAAGTACTAGTAAAATGAAGAAAAGCATTTTAAGGACCAAGAACTTGATGGTAATTAAGCGTAATTTCTAATTAAGGCAAAGAAGATGACTAGGCAGTTAAAGGCAGGGTGTGTTCTACAGTATTTCTATTCTTGGAATCAAGATTTGTTATTTTTGGAGAATTGTCATTTTGAAATAGTCCATTATCTGAAATGCAGTTTTGTAATCTTGCTGTAACAAAGCAAACAATTTTGTGTTTTTGCTATTTAGGATGTCAACCAGCATGGTTGCATTGAACCTGTAGCAGACTAGCGGTTCAAAGCCTGGGCTGTAGCTCAGAGCATCTGCTTGGCATAAGAAGGGCACAAAGTTTAATTCCTGTCATCTCCACACAAGATTAAAACAGACTCCTGTTCGAAATCCTGGACGGCCACAGCCACCGTATGTTCCACCACCAACTGGTACAGATGCTGTAGACCAGCTATCCCCAACCTGGTACCCTCCAGTTATTTTAGTCTATAGCTTCCAGAATTCCTGACAATTGTCCAAGTTGGCTGTA